AGATCCTCTTGTCCCTGCCAGGCACTCTGCTCCCTCTTCCCAAGGCTAACAAGCATTATTCAGACTGGGAGATAGTAAGGACAGTGTGTCTGATGTTTGCTGGGCTATATTAAAGAACATGTTCATTTTGCTTCTGAATGATATTTCTAAACATTTGCAAGCAATAGAGAAAAATGGATTCATATTTTATTAAGTCTGTTTACAAAACCTAGAAGACCTGAGGCAGCGCTATGTGTTGGAGTACAGATGTTTTGTCCCTCTCCAAATGCATTTAGGAAAGCTAAAATAAACAACACTGAGAGGCTGTCAGCTCGCTGGCAGGAAGGGCAGGGTGAGTTCACAGCCCCTGCCAGCAGGGCTGAGCTCCTGTGCAGATGATGCTTCATGACCTGCTCAGGGCAGTCAGGCACCTCTCCAGTTTCACTGACTTACACTCACCTTGATCTTTCTCTCCTGTATTTGGGTTTTTTTTTTAAATATTGAGAGAACTAAGTATCATTTTAAACTGAGAGACTATCCAACCAGAGTAAAATTTCAACCATTTAACAACTGACAAGAAATCAATGTTTCCTTTTGCTAAATATGTTTAAAATCTCTAAGCAGTCCAAATGGGATGTAGGAATCATTTCCTCTCAGATGACAAATGACAGGCTAAATTCCACCCACTCTGTTCACTCTGGCCTGACCTAGGGCTGATAGGAAACAATGAGCGTCTTTCCGTTAACTTAAATGGATTTTGTGTCAGCCCCATTAGGTAACAGCTTATTTCCCTTCATTGATTGTGAAGTCAAAGATAAGGAATTAAGAGTGATTGGCACATTAAGAGTGGATGGCAGACATTCACAGAGCAAAATCCCAGTGATGGGGAGAAGAAAGGAGGGGGAAAGATTTTGTGTATGGATGTTATAAACATCAGTTAAAGATGCTCCACTCTGTACCAGGATTCAAACACAGAACTGCTTTATTTTGGCTTTGGTACAAGGGTGAACATTTTTCATTTACTTCTGTTAAAGGGAAGAATTTGAGGATATATTAAAATATTGGGTCCAAAGAGAAATAATTTAGTTCTGCACGGATAACACATGCTAAAAAAATCTTCAGAAGCCTCCACTTCTGGGTGCTAAAATCCTTTATCTGAGGGAGGGCAAAAATGGTCTTTTTTCCCCCCAAGGATGGGGTACAGCTGGGGCTTTTCTTTGCAGGCCACGATAATGAGACAACAGGAGGATGGGGTGAGAGACCTCATCTCCTAGGATCTAATGACACTGGGAGGATATACTGTTACAGTACAGTAGTGTGATTCTTTATTCTCTCTTGTAGACTTCCTAAAGGCAGGCTACAACACAGATCCTCATGACTCTTATCCCTTTGGTTTAAGAAACTTAATTGTGATTTTTCAGGTGTTCTCCAGTCTGAAGCTGAAGGCAATGGCAGCTGCTTAGCTCCTGAGTCAGGTTGTCCTGATTTGGCCTTTCATATAAAATTCTCTTTATGAGTGAATTTTACCTTTAATAACTTGCTCTTTGCCTGTCAGCCAAAATTCCGTACTGATTTCTGCTAGAGGAACTGATAGATGTTCCAAGGGCTGTGGGCCACCATCTTTTTTATGGTACAATTATTAAAAGCCAAACCTTCTCACATTTTTTATTTCTAAAAAAGCCTTGAAATCTGGCACCTTTATGACTAAAGCCTCCCAAAGGAAGCACTACAGAATCAATATCTGAAAGCAGGATGCTTCTGCATTTTTTGAAGTAAAAGTTCTCTGCAGTCATTAACAGGCTTGATTCATCTGATGACTCAGAATTTGTGCAGCTGGTCCAAGGCCATTTCAGAGACTGAAAAGTGCTGCTTTTCTCTCCTTCTCTAAAAAAGTGATCTTTTCTCAGTTACATGAAGAAGCACCTCCTGCCCTCGTGTCAACTTCATTTAAGGAGAAGGTTATATTCAGAACATGTAACAGCAAAGAATTTGATTGGAAAGATGAATTCATATAAAATTTGACCTTCATCTGTTTTCCCAATAAGCATTTTGAAATCTTTGAAATGTCCTTTTGTTTACTGGAAATGCAATATATGGTAGGAGTATTGCAATACACAGGCCAAATAGAAGAACAGACTGTGAAGATACAACAAATAGAACAGACTGCAAAATAATGTTTCTCCATTATTTAACTGTAATTAAATTTCATTAGTCACATAGATAACTATATTACAATTTCATGTTTGTCTCATGTTTTCAGGAGCTTCATGCTCATTGATTTGAAGTTCCTGAATCAGATACATTCTCTTTACATTTTGGTTCAAGTTTTTTAAACAGTCAGAGCTTACATTTTTTGTGATGCATTTAGGTTTTATTTTCATTATAAAACTCCAGTCTCACGCCAGATTTTAAATGTTAATAATTCAGCCATTGCTTTTGAAGGGGTTCTATGGCTCCATTCACTGATGATTTAAATAGTCAATTTTCAATCATCACTCTCTTTTGAGAGTTTATAGCTGTGCTATTCCCTTCCCATTAAATGCTGTCACAGTAAAGATTCCTATCGACTGGAAGTACTTCGATTTTATTCCCCATGGTAACTGTTTATTATCCTCACAAAATCTTGTGGGTTTGTGGGACATGAAAAATACACTTTCCTCAGAAATAGTGACAAAAGAGAAACCTTCATCAGAATTTAACATTTCATTATCCAGACTAATGTAATCTAATACAAGGCCCATCCCTCTAAAGTCCCTTGTTTCACTTGCAAGTCTTTCTACACTGTGAGTAGCAATGCTGTAATCCCATTTCAGGTTTAGTGCTGGCAGCAAGAGCTGGGACATCAGGTAAATGTTTGCATTTCAACATTTCCTGCTGTAAGTGGCTGTTTATGTCAAGGAGCAAGCTTTTCTTCGATACCTGTGTCACCCTGGAAAAGTTGTCCAGGCCAGAACTAATTCCATTAGTGCTTGGAAAGCTATTTATAAGCCTGCCTTCAGTGGGATGACCTTATTAATTAGATTGGGGGAAGGCTGAGGGAGGGAGAGACGCTCATTTCACAAGACCATTGACATGCATTTCCAGAAGCGATGCCTCTCCTTCACACTATGCTCAAAATGACTGTCAAATAAAGCAGAAATCTGGGTCAGTTTGCAGCAAGGAAAAAAAAAGCTATATCCATGCTGTCTGCAGGACACAAAGCATAAACTTTTCACAGGGTAGTTCTGCTGCCATATGTCCTTGAACATGCTAACAAAGTCCAAACCCTATATTCCCTAAATCCAAAAACAGGAAAGAGCTTTACCACTAAAGCTTCTACATCAAACCTCACTGAAACCACCACCTTCCTCCATTATCATGCACACCCCGAAGACAAGAAGGCTAAATCCTCATATTCTGTTTGTTATGAAGTCAAAAGAAAGCAGAAAGGTACTTTTCTCCCCCTTATTTACCCCACATGCTTGATTTACTCTCCAGTTTAGACCGGGAGTGGAGAAGAGTTTCACCTGCCAAACCCATTTCCTGTGCCTCACTAAGGCTGTGCTGCTCTGCCCCCTCCCCACTGCATTTATTCGGCTCCCTGAGCCATGGTGTGCTGCTCTCTTCCCCTGAAGCCAGCCCATCACCACTGCCAGCTCCAAAAAGTGAGCAGCTGGGAGCATGAGCCGTGTCTGGTCACTAATACATCCATGTTGGCAACTGAGGAACTGCTGCTCTGTTATCTGTTTAACAAATCAGGGGACTGGTTATTGCGCAGGTTTGCAATAAGAACTCGTCTGTGCAAAGCAGCCAAAAGAAACTCAGCTTTTGTGCAGGATGTTTACTTTTATCAATATAGCCTCCTGACAGAATCTCATTCACCTCTGGCATCTCAGTGGCAATTCCATTTTTCATCTTGGGTGGGGAAAAGGAAGTTTTCAGAGCCTCCCTATTCATTTGATGGATTTGTACAAGCCAGGACAATTTTGCAATGTAGGGAAAACTACAGACCCTGGTTCTGTGTCCCCTTCTGCATAATCCTGTACAGATATTCAATGTCTCTTCCAGAATTCAGTATGTCTTTATGTGAAAGTTTAATGCTCATCAAACTCCTCCACCTCTAGACAAGCAGACAGTGCTTGTGAAGGGTGGGCAGGAGATTGTACATGGGCACAATTTGACCTAAAAATAATAAGGGCAAACCACACAGCTCACGTACTCCTGAGTGTCAAGAATTGTAATTAGTAACAGATTTGCTATGCAAACACCTATGTGGTACCAAATGGGTGCCTGCTGAGTATCAGACTGGGATTGCCTGGTTCATTTTGGAAACCCATTTTACAAATACCTTACAGAACTAAAGTCTCTTTGTCCCGTGAAAAAATAATAGGTTAAATGTCTTATTAACCAACCCTTGGCTGTTCATGTTCAGCATGTTGCTCCTTCCAAGCACACTACATAACTGGGCCCCACAACAGGGATGCATTCAGTAAGAAAAGTTCTTTCATCCTTCTTGTAATCCTGACTCATTTATTAAAATGCATTTCTGGGGCTGAGTGCACAATGACATATTTCTAGTCTTAAGAACGTTTTAAATCAAAACTACTTAAGGTATTTGAAGGATCTGGTTTTCCTTACTTTGTAAATATGAGTAACCAAACGAACATGGTTTTTGCTTCCTTAATCTTGTACACTGAATGCCAATTTTTAGGATTTAGACTTAATGGTTCCTTGGTCCATAATTAGGGCTTTATTTTATTGCCATGTTTTTAAGGCACTCTGATTCATTCTATCATCAAAAACAATTACAGAGATGAGTTCAACAAGAGTCACTGGTACTAAAAATATGTTATTGGTCAGGACTGCTCTAACAATACCTGTGCTGAGTAATTTAGTGCTCTCCTTAATAAACACTGACTTCCAGTAAAAAATCTTCTAGTTTCATCACCACTGTCATGATGGTTGGGGCATTCTTACCCTGGTTCCACTTCATGATATGAATGTTCTTATTTTCATTTAAAGTAAACAAGTCTGAACAGTATTTTTTTTTTACTGTATCTTGAATTTGTTTATCTTTGATGCTCCAGCAACAGGAAGTTACACTGGTTTCAGATCTGTGTCTACAGAACAAAGGTGGAAAAACAGGCTTTGAAAAGTGTAAGGAGAAGAACTCTGACACATTTGTGAGTCTAGATCAAATGTCCAAGGCAGCAGGGAAGGAAATGAAAACTACAGTGGCTTGGGAGAAGGCAGAAGAAAGAGTCAAAGAGGAGCAGAGGGAATGAGAGGAGATGGAGACAAGATGCAACACCTCTGTGTGTACCTTTGAAGGTGTCAGTGCACTGTTTTTACAGCAGTCAGCCCAGTTTTTTGCCAGAACCACAAAGCAGCCAGCCTTCCAGTCATGGTGTACACATCACGTGTTCCAGAACATTTCTACAACCTGAAAGTGCAAATTACTGGGGAGTTACAGAGGAATGCAAGGATGGGTGTGTGGTACTGAGCAGGAGGGCAGCTGCATCACCACAAGCCCTACCTCAATATAAAGCCAGGATAGTGCTGGCACTTCAGCTGTTGAAATGCAGCTGTGTGCAGGTCTGGGCTCTTCAGCAGCGTCCTCAAACTTTGCTCCTTTTGAATTAACAGATAACATAGGCAATATGAAACTTTATTACCAGTGACACTGCAAAATCAGATGACTGATTATACCAACATATTAACAGTGATACCTCACTGAAATTAATGGGAGTATTTCTCAGGGAAGTAGCTTGGCTCTGCATTTCAGGAGCTCTCCTTTCCAGCATCAAGCTCTGCCCTCCTTTTTCAGAAAAGCTGAGCAGCTGTCTGCAAAAGTCTTCTGGCCCAGCCTCACCTGTCCCAGCACAACCAAGCCCCTGTTGGAGAACAAAATCTGCAATTTGTATCAGAAGAGCTTATTCTTTACTGGAACTACAGAAGCTGAGGGGCAAGTCTTGCCATGGCAGTTTACAAAACTGTTACCGCCCAATCCTTTGCTCACTGCTGGCACCAGGGAACAGCTGGTAAAGGGAGAGAGCCATGAACAGTCAGATTGAGCCTGACATGCAGCCAAGCCATGACGCTCACACTTCCCTGTGCTGGAGGTGGTTACCTGGCAGAGGTGACACGTTTAGCTGGGGAGATGACTTACAAACCATGGCACAGCTGCCAGCAGATCCCGTCTGCATCAGTCCTACCACGAAAGATGTTGACACTGAGTGTGGTTTATTTGTCTAAACCCGTGCATGGCCTTGGTGTGCCTCTACTAATTGCTTTTGTTGAGGGCTGGAACTGTTCAAAATCCCACTGTAAACAAGATATTAGATTAGAAAAATAGCATAAATAGAATTCTAATAATATTAATATTCTCCTAATTCATGCCCTATTTGTACTGTACAAGGCAACGCCACGTTCACCTTACAGAAATAAGCTTGACATGGTCCCTTCACTTAGTGAAATAACCCTTGCTTGGCAAAGTTAGGTTTGAGCAGGTAAGATTAGGGCACAGAGACGGGAACCCGCCAGCCAGTTTCTCTCTGCCAAGCAGTCTGGCCACTGTAACATCGATCTGCAGCGGAGTTAATGATGCCATGTGCAGGTTTATGGGACAGCAAAGCCACGGGGTTTTTCGGTGCTCTCCTGTGCCACGCCGGGATGGACCCCACGGGCGGGTGGGTGAAGTCACCCGGGCCAGTCCGTGCCGAATCCGTCGCAGGCAGGCTCCCACAGCTCCCACACTGGGAAGAGGAAGCGTGCTGCCACCTCCAAGCCCTCCTGTCTGCTGAACGAGCTGAAACAATGGCGATTAAACCGCTGTCCCCAGCAGCGCCCCGGTGCTGCTCCATCCCCTGCGAGGCCGCGGGACGAGCTGCAGCCGGGCCCCGGGCACCGCCAGCCCCGGCCCCGCCGCGGCCGCTGCCTCCCATTGCTGCCCGGAGCCCCGGCCGGGCCCGGCCACCCTCGGCAGCCAAGCCGCGGCTCCCGTTCCCACCGGGGCGCTCCTCCCAGCCCCATTCCCCGCTCCCACGCCGGCGCTCCCCCGGCCCCGTTCCGCGGTGCCCCGGCCCCACCTCGCAGCCGCGAGCTCCCGATGCCGCGGGAGCCCGCGCCGGGCCGGGCCGGCTCCTCCCGCGCTCGGCGGCGGGGCCGGGCCGCGGTGGGCGGGCCGGGGCGGGGGCTGCGCGGAGCCAGGGCCGGTTAAAGCGGCCGCCGCCCGCCCGGCCCCGCGCTCAGCCCACCCGGCGCCCGCCGTCCTGCGCGCCGCGGCCGCGCGCTCGCCAATGCGGGCCCGGAGCCCGGCCCGAGCCGCCCCCGGAGCCGCCCGCAGCCCCCCGGCCCGACCCCCAGCCCCGGACCCATGCGGCGGTTCCGGAGGTGAGCTCGCCGCGACCCCCGGCGGGGATGGGATCCTCCTTCCTGCCCGAGGCGCTCCCCGCGGGATGGAACCCCGGGCGGGGTGAGGGGTGGGTGGGGGAGCCGAGGTTTTCTCGCTGGTGCCGGGCGGGGTGGGCAGCGAGGTCCTGGGGGCGCGAGTGGGCGGGGGTGAGGAGGGTCTTTTGTTTGTGTGTTTGTTTGTTCATCGCCGCCGGTCAGTGGGTGAGGGTTCGCGCATCCGGCCCTGTGTCACAGCCGCGCATCGCGGCGCTCCCGCGGGGCCCGACCTGTGGCTCCTGGGCCGGGCTGGGTCAGCGCCCGCCGGCCCCGTGTGGCCCCGCGGGGCCATGGAGCTCCTTGTTCTGCTGCCTTCGAGGGCGCATTGATTATCACGGAATCGCAGAAAGCTCCGGGTTGGAAGCGCCTTAAAGCTCTCCTCGTTCCAGCCCTGTGCCATGGGCAGGGATACCTTGCACTAGATCAGGTTCCTCCAAGCCCTGTCCAACTTGGGCTTTTTTGCTTCCAGGGACGGGACAGCTGCAGCTTCTCTCTGACAGGGCCTCAGCACCCTCACAGGGAAGAATTACTTCCTAGTATCCAATCTAAATCAATGCTTTTTTAGCTTAAAAATCAGCCTTCATTCAGCTTTAAGATGCTGCTCATGTTCACGGGGAGGTTGACCGGGTAACTGCAGTTGTGGTTCTTGGATAAGCATCTGTGGGCTTTGGTTCCCCATTGTGCACATGCCAGGCCCGTAACTGACAGCCCATCTCCTGGGTGAGGCCGGTTGCACAGGGCTTCCCTGACCGGTACCTGCCGTAGACCTGCCTTGCTCTCCTTTCACCAACTTGCTCAAAAAACTGAAACCTAAGTATTAAAAGGGAAATAAAACTGAAAGAGAAAAATATTAATGCAGTCGGACGTGGTTTCTGTGCTAGCCCACACCTCGGCTGGCTGGTCCCTTGCCCCTGAGCTCAGATGTGCTGCAGCACCTGGGGTGACTTGTGATTGCTGCCCACTCTTTGCTTGAATTGCTGCCTTTCATACTTGCCAGAAGGCTGGGGAGGCTTTGGGGAGGTCAGTGGGATGCACAGACACTTTTTTCCATGACCCAGTCTATGTATGATAGCAGAGTTGTTTGTGGGTTTCTCAGAGTATTGCAGGTTTCCTTTTATCTTTAGTATCATGCTGTAAGTACGTGAACCTTCACACAGCGTGGGATTTCGCTGATATTTCCAAATAAGGGAACTGCTTCTGCACTGATCTGAATTATTTCTGTGCTTCCGATGTTGAGAGATAGTAAAGATTATGTGAGCAGTTACAAACCACAGATAGATACTGTCAAATCCAGGAAGGAAGGTGCCTACTGTGGAGGAAGATGGGTCTACTTTTAACTGAATGAATTTGGTCAAAGCCAAATTTGGTCCGAGCAAGCTTTTAATAAATCCTTTTGTTTCTCTTCAAAATCTAATCTGAATGGTCATCAGATCTGTTCTGACCTGCTGTATTTTTTTTTGTTTTCCTCTTGAAAACAAAGAGCTTAGGTAACATCCTAGGTACTGAAGCATATATTTAGATAATGAAGCAATTTTTAACCCCATTTGGTTTATGCTACTGCCGGTTTTGTGGAGTTACACCCACGTTGTTGCAGTTTCTCATATGCTGTTATTTGTGGTTTATTAGGTCTAAATGGCTTCTCTTGCTGCTGGAAAGCACAAAGAAAGAAAGTCACAAAAAGAGGGAATGTGCTTTTAAGCTGGTGAAAGGAAGTATGAGGTCTTTTGAGCTGAATAAAGGAAAAATACTTCCTGAAAAGACTAAAAAATCCACATATTTGAGGCCATTATCAGTGCTTGCTGTTCTTACTGACATTTTGCTTTATGCTTAAAACAATAATTTGTTCAGCAGATGGGAATCATCAATAGGGCAAGATTTTATTTTCCCTTCTGCAGTCTGGGGTCTAAGCTTGTTGTAATGCCAGACAAATGTCATACAGATATGCGCAATGGGTTTGGGGTTTTGTAATTTATTTTTCAAAGCTGGCTTTGCATGCAAAGACAAAGCATTAAGAGCCCTCGGACTTTCCTTCTGCTTTGTCTCTGAGATACTATCTTCTCTTAATTCTGGAATCTCTGGGAAACATACAGCATCTATTCCTTGGAAATGAATAGGGACTTGAGATTAGGGTCTGTCACACAGGATGGATCAGTCTGTATGTTTAGAATTTAAAATATTTAAAGTATTTCAAGATCAAAGATCAAGTAGCGTGAAGGGAGGGGTGTGAGTTTCTTCCCTCTTGTTTTAAATTGCTGTATCTCTCTCTCAGTACCTTTTGTCTGCTTATATTGGGAGTATGTCCATCAAAAGTTGTTTGGTTGCTGTGAAATTCTGAGTCTTGAACTTCCTTGGCCTTGAGCAGGTTCTGAGCATTGAGAATTTAAATTGTGAAAAGGAACTCACGGCTCAGTTCAGTGTGAAAGCATTCTGCTCTCCTGGCTGGCTACAAGCCTTTCTCAGTCTCTTAATTTCAGAAATTTCTTATTCTGTTATTGAAGGCATTAATATTTTATCTTGGATATCTTGGATTGTTTGGATTGTCCATCTTAAATGGACAAGTATTTGTGCATCCTTGTGAGATGTGCTGCATATCTTCTGATTAAATGATTCTGGTTTCACTAGATCTGCTAGTAAAAAATACATTGGAGATTTGCTAGAGAATCAAAAAGGCTTCAATTAAAGACATTTCCTGTAAACTGTAGCCCAGTTCAGTGGGGCATTGTCAGTCTGTCCTGCATTTGATAACAACCTTAATGGCTGTGTTACAGAGAGCCTTTGTTTAGGGGTGAACAGCATCTGAATGCTCTTTACTGAGCTTCCCCTTTTAGGAAGGTGAGATTATAATTCCCACAATTATCTTTTGCAGAAGAGGCAAATGTGACCTGTAGAGAGGAGGAGGAACAATGTCCCTGTGCTGCTGTATTCACAAGGCAGGAAACAAGCATCCATTGTTGGTGGTGGCATGGGGTTTGTTTGCTTATTTATTTAAGAAAGAGCAGAGCTGTTTTGCCTCTAGAATGGGAATAAACAACCACATTCTTCTGCCTTTGTGTTGCAATATCATATGTGTCTATAACTGCAGGAGTATATGACTGGCTTTAACTGTGTATGTCAGAACAATTTTCCTGGTTTTGAGGAGCACATCAGTAATATCACAGAGCAGCTCTTTTCAAAATCCACATCTGTTTCTTAAGACATTAAGCCTAAACTGTCAGGCTGGAAATGAAATGACCTCGTGAGAAGCTCTGGCTGGCATTTTTGCCCTTCCAGCCACCTCGTTAATGATCCTTCCTCTGAAGCTGTTCCTGATAACGTTTATAAATAGTTAATGATCAAAAGGCAAGGAGGAGTAACTCAAAGTTTGCTTTACTAAGACTGCTGCCTGTGAGTAGTGACCTGAGCAGATGTTCTCAGGGTCTGCAGCCTGTTGGATGGAGGCAATCCCTCTCGGAAGGGAGAGGTGCAGGTCTGTCAGATGTGCAGCAGAGTAGGTGCTGGGGCATTGTGAGACCCATTTCTGTGAGGGAGAGGTAAAACTGAGCACTTCCCCTCCTGCCAAAACACACTGGGGGTGTTGTGTTATTGGTGTAAACACTGAGGTGAAGGGGATGGGTGAGGTGTTGCTGATGCTGGAGCTCTGGTACAGAATATTTGCATCATTCCTGTGCTGCCACAAACAAAACAGGGAAAAAAACCCAGCTCTGTGTGTAGGTAACAGAGCAAGGATGGGTTTGTTACTGTCTTTGTGTTCTGTTCTACAGCTAATAAATGTCCTTAAATTAGTGACAGTAAGAGGTCCTAATTTCTAAAGTGTTAGTGCATAATTCTAAAATCTAACATTACCTCTAGATCCAATATGATTGCTTTAGAAAGATGCAGTGTATTTCCTACTGAAAAAAAAAGGGGGAAAAATTAAAAGTAGGCTAATGTTGGATAATAGAAGATCCCATTAGGAGGCATCAATTATTTATAGATTTGTATATGATAATAGTATCTAACATAGAAATTTGGAACACCAAAAATTATAAAGCTACTGCAGAGTATAAAATTATTCCTTTCGGTTCTTCAGGTTTGAGTTTGACTTTTGAAAAATTTTTTTACTTCTTGTGAGACTTCCAAGGTACCACCACAGAGAAAAGTAATAATATTCTAGATGTGATAAGTGAAAAGTTTCCCATGACTTTGAATTTATGGAGTTGGACAAGGGCAGTCCAAGCCTGGCCACTCACTGAGCCAACAGATGCTTTTATTTTTAAACATTTTCCTGACTTGGAAGCAGAACTGAGCAAACTGAATGTTCCATCTTTAGAGGATACAGAGATGGTGTTCAGCAGCTGTTGAAGACATACAAGCTCTGGGAATAAAGTAATTTTCCAAATATTCTGCAAGGCTTTGTGATGACA